TTCCCTCTTAATGTTCAGCTAAATTTTACATTCAGACAAGTATTATGCATAAATAGATGATCCAGCATTAAAAATGTGTCAGTCTGTCCTTGTTATCTCTTCAAGGCTATTGCTGTAAAAGGTACATAGAGAAAGACATTTATGAAAGCAGGGAAATCATTAAAGGTTAAAACTACAGATTCCCCAGAAAAAAGCAAGTACATTATCTGGACTCTTCTGGAACAGAAACATTACACAGACACCAGAGTTAGGCATCCCTGTTATATATATATATACCTATATTCAAGTCGGATTTACAATGGTTTGGACTGCATGAGGTGAACATAAGTATGCAGCTCTTCATATGTTCTGAACATCCAGTCAACAAAATATGCATGCCATCTTTCACTCAGTTTTTCTTTTTATTTTATTGAGTTGGATGCTGTATGATAGTTGCATTCTCACCCTGCAGACATAAAAAAGAAACACGAACATTTTTTTCTGTATCAATGAAAAATATGCCTCTGAATGCAAAGGGAATTCCATTTGTCACGGACACTGTGAAAATTGGTATAAGTAGCTGCAGAAATTGGCAACTGAGACATAAATTGAGTACGACATTTGTAAATGTTGCATATTGATATTAACTCCTTTTTAGTATGACTAATCTCACAGTGTTTGCTAACTGTTAGAGAGGAATCATTTCAGACGCAGAAACACTACCTTTTCTGGAACAGGAAATTTGTTCAATATTACTACTTTATTTAACTTCATGTCAGGATGGAAATATAGCTGCCCTGAACCACAAAGATAGCTGTGCTTCTCAGGGACACGGGAATTTCAGGATAACTACTGGGGTTTTACCTGACATCTGTACTCTTGACACATATTCCTGGCGATCACTAAACATTAGAGAGAGAGAGAGTACTTCCATTTTATGCTGCAAGCAGAGGAATGCATTGCAAAATAATTCTTTCTTTGTGGAAGTGTTCAATAGGTTATCGTGCTATTTATTCAGTTACCAACCAGTTTCCTGTAGCAAAAGAGGTTTTTTTATTCAGGATTTTGAAAGTTAAGGCAAAATCACAAATCAGCCTAGGAGGAAAGTCATCAAGTGTTTTATAGATGGCATTTAATAGAACACTTTGCTTAAAATTTACAGAAAGACCTCCAGCTTTAAGTATAATCATCTGTGAAGTTTGCCCTATTCATAGTACATGCACAATG